CATTATGTAATCATAAGGACATTGTCCCTGGTTCAGAACATCACTTAACCTTCTCTTGACTCCCTCACTCTGTGGCCACCACCTCCTCCCCCAATAAATTAAATACAGCAGCTTACCTAAATGATTGCTGCCGAACTCTTACCAAGAGAATGAAAACCTCTCAGCACCATTATAGTCTGAAACAATAGAGATCACAGTTTCCAGGCAGCACATACCAGCTCAAAAACAAGCCACAGTCTCTAAGCCTGTTGCCAGGTGAATGATACGGTACAATTTCTTGCTGTAATTTATATATGTATCTCCTCTGAGTTGCTTCAGAGCTTAGGCAATGAGAATGAGCTAACAGTCACTGAAAAGAAAGAGAAGTGTCAAAGCCTGACGTTAATCCTAGGTTTTTCCTTTGTCTAGTTGGCCCTGGGTCCTCTGTCGTTGCTCCTGAGACCTGCCCTAAATCCTCCTAAGCCATGAGAAATGCCTGCAAGCTGTTAAAACACTCACTGTCCTGTGTCCTCTGGCTGGAGAGCTTTGATGGCTGCCAAATTCATAAACTTATTGTCAGAGTCAAGTCTACAGGAGGCTTGCTTGTTTCCACAGACAGTGGCTCCTGTAGCTACAAAATAAAAAGGAACAGCGCGATTCATTTATTCATTTATTCAGCAAGTATTGATTGAGCATCAGTGTGTGCCAAGCACTGAGGGTAGTGCATTGAACAATGAACAAAACAGAATGGCCCCTTCCCAAAGCATGTGATTCAGTGAAAGATACTGACAAATAAGCAGACAGTTACATATGATTGTTAAATGTTGGGACCTAGGGAGAAGCCCCTGGCCCCTGGCTCCACCCCTAACCTAGCAAATAACTCTACTGGTGGAATGGACCTGAAATAAACGCTTTCTTGATCACTGAGGAATACAGTGGTTTCCGATTAAAAAGAGTGTTTTATGCTATTTGTTGTTGTTTGTTTTCAGCAGAGAATTCTCCTTTTGAAAAAATTAATCCCATCAGATTAGATATGCTGCGTTCAACCTGGTTTCCAATAGACACATCTGTGTGATTGTCCTCTTTTTTTATTCTGGTTTCTGTTTTGCCTCCAGTCTCAATTTTCTTCTTCTCCCCACTTTTTCTCCCTAATTTTTCAGTTTAGAGGACAAATATGTTGAGCCACAATAAGAGGAAATTCAGGAGCTGTTGGCCCTATTTCTACTGCAAATACTCTAAATTGCTTACTGATCAAGCCTTTGATTTAAGTATGATTCACTACTAAGCCAACCACTTCACTATGATATAGTTTGCTTTCTTGTATAACTTTATTTTCTCTGGAGTTAATAATTGCCTCTTTTTAAAATTTGCTTAATTTTTTTTGTACTTTCCCCCCAACATGCTTTAACAGAGCTATGAAATGCATAAGCAACAAGTTTTCCAAATGCTTGATAAGAGCGTTCTTTGACCAGAGCACAGGTCTATGCAGCTGCTCTTGCACAAATCTAAATAATAAATTTTGGGTAAAAATTATCTCACTGCTGCTCCGAAATCAGGAGCCTATTCAAAAGGACAGACTTTAGGGAATTTGAGGGAAGTTTCTGGAAGAGTTTTGTCCACTCCTACTTTCTGGACCTGTAGTATCCTATTGAATTCCTTCCCAAAGATGAGTTATGGCAAGCCTGATTGAAACCTAGGCACTTGGTAGTCTCCGAAGCACCAATACTGACTGCAAGCCAGCTGCTGCTAGAGCAATTAGGAAAATCCCAACCCCCTGAGCTGATGGTCTCTCTACTTTTTAGCAATAAAACAAAATTGGAGAGACCCAAATAAATCGTCAAGGTCATATCCCCATTAGTTCCCAGATGTGCCACTTAAATCTCTAACTTTCTAGAACAACAACAAAACAGTAATTATCTGTGAGTCATAAACCTTGTGATTCAGTTCTGTGATTACTATTTTTCTCCAACTAAATAAACTGTATACACCCTTCATGATTTAATTTTGAACTCAAGTGGCCTACTCTTGCTGCTTAGCTACAGATAGAAGCTTGGATATTAATGTGTCTAAAATGTGGGTTTAATAATTATTTTAGTCTCTCATCTCACTCTCACTTCATAGGAAATTACGGTCTCATTGGATGGTTGCTCTGCAGGCTATAACCAAATGTCGACCAATCTTGGTGAAGAGTGTTTCATCGACTGGCAACCATCCAGGCTAATGTCAGAAAACAGAATTATTTTAAATCACTACTATTATAGTAGCATAACTCTTAGTTGATCATCATCTCAATACAGATAGCTTCTTGCCCATTACTTAATTACAAAACACTACTCCAGTTATGAACCATTTAAGTATGTATAACTAGCACTATCAAATATATTAGATTTAATTTTGTAAATATAAAATCAAACAAAAACAAGCATAAAATGAGTGTTAATGGTATATGTTGATGGTTGTTTTTGTTTTGCTGTGAAAGGAAAAAGACTCACATTAGAAATAAACACAGAATTTACCAAAGTCTATAAAATTGTGACGCTTTATGGCATTCTATGGGGCACTTTCATATCAATTATTTCATTTTGATTCACAGAAAGCTTTTGAGGGCGGTGGGGCAGATGTTACCATTTCTATGTTAGAGTTGAGGACGGTTTATGTAAAAATAAAGCACTTTGCTTGTTCTTAGAAACATGACAAAAAATCCGCAGAGCTGGGGACAAACCTAGACCTTACAAGCCCTTCAAGACTGTGCCTTTTATTGATAGTTTTTTTTCTTCTTAATTAAACTACACTCTGACATCAAGAATTAATTTTCCATTCAGATAAAATGGTATAACTATTCTCTTCCTGCACTAACCTCCACTCTTACCAACCCATTATCAGCACCTTTTCCTTAAATATCTATTACTCTAGTCTCTAAAGACATCCATCCATTTTGGCTCTAACCACCAGCCTACATGCAATCCACCCAACTGTTATGAGCTGAATTTTGTCCCCCCAGAATGTATATACTGAAGTCCTAACCCCCAACACGTTAGAATGTGACTGTAATTAGAGATAGGGCCTGTAAGTGGGTAATTAAATTAAAATGAGGTCATTGGGGTGGGGGGTTCTACTCTAATACCACTGATGTCCTTGTAAGAAGAGGAAATTTGGACACAGACAGAGAGATGAAGAAGACAGCCACCTACAAGCCAAGAAGAGAAGCCTCAGAAGAAACCAACCAGCTGAAACCTCGATCTCAGACTTCCAGCCTCCAAAACCGTGAGACAATGAATTTCTGTGAAGCCATCCAGTCTGTGGTACTTGGTTATGGCAGCCCTAGCTCACTAATATAGCAACCACACCTCTTTTCTTCTTAAGTCCAGCAAATATGCCTCCACTGTGTACCCATGTCAGACACTGGGCCAAGGATTTGAGGCGCTAGGGATAAACTTGCAGACACAATCCTACCCACATGGAGCTTCCAGTGCATCGGGGGAGATGTTTTAAGGCTTACTAGTGAGCATGCCTTTGATCTAGAAGTTCCTCCTAAGGAAAACAAAGGGCACATTATTTTGCTATTGGCCTCTGATGTGCTACTCAAAGTGTGGTCCACAGACTCAAGCATCGGCATCACTGGGGAGCATGCTAGAAATGCAAGTTCTTGTGCCCCTCTCAGACTTAAGGAAGCAGGATCTCTGGGGTGGGGCCCAGGCATAAACATTTTAATTAGCTCTTCAGGGGATTCTTTTGCATCCTGAAGTGTGAGAAGCACTGCAAACGTATTATACTAGGGGCCCAGTACACGAATTCATGCACCTTGAAAGGAACTGTGGGCCGCGAGGCTGGGGTGGGCACAGGGGCAAATCTCAGCCCATCCTCCGTGCCCTCGCTCAGTCCCTCCCACCGTGGCCCCTGGTCCCGTCTGCCAGCAGCCCCGTTCCTGCCGCCACTCCCATGCGCTGATGGCATGCCGGCCCTGCTCACACCTGCTGATGGCTCAGAGCGATTGGGGCCGGTGCTGGCAGCAGGTATGAGTGGTGACTGCTGCCCCGATCACCCCTCAGGAGCAGGGGAAGGTGGAGAAGCCCTCAGGGGCGATCGGGGAGGCAGCCACCGCTCACACCTGCTGACGGCACCTAGCGATCAGGACCGGCACCGGGCGCTGGCAGCAGGTGTGGGCGGCAGCTCCGGTGCCAGCTGTGGGTGCGAGCAGGGCCAGCGCCAGCAACAGGTGCAAGTGCCAGGCAGAACCGCAGCACACAGGAGTGAATAATTTTCAGTAACCTCCAGAGGCTCACCCTGATGACAGTGACCGGCGTCCTGCCTTGGTCTGGTGCCCCCACTCACTTGCTCCACCATCCCACCACAGCCGATGCCCGCCATGTTCTACACTCTGCCGCCTGCTGCTGACACCCACCATGTTCATGTGCACCTCCTGGTGGTCAGTGCACGTCATAGCGACTGGTTGTTCATTTGTTTGGTTGTTCCACCATTCAGTCTATTTGCATATTAGGGTTTTATATATATAGATTGTGGGCAGGTAAACACAGTTCAACCCTCTGGCCTAAACCCCACCTAAAGCAACTGCTCCAAGTTGACTACACACACACACACACACACACTGGGATGTGTTTAGCTAAAGACTCCCATAATCCAATGCTGTCTTTTTCTTGGGTATCATCCAAACTGTTCCAAACATATGACTCTGTGCCTCTATAAAGCTATCAAATTAAAGGGGAAAAGTAGATCCTTGTTTGCAAAGAGAGATACAGATCTTCCACACAGAGCACCACTTCCTTTTTCCTTGGATTTCTAACGTCCTTCTCACAGAAGAAACAATGCCAAAAACAACAGCATAGAGTATATGGGAATTAAGTTGTCATTTAAACTCTTTTAGTACAATGAGAATCACTCTCTGATAGACATATATAAGAAGGCTTCTTTCCTGTTGTGTCTTAAATTATCAATTGTGTACATTATTATTTATCTGTGGCAAACCCTGTAGTAAATTATAATAATCCAGTCAAAACAGTTCCCACTGTGCAATTATGGTATTTTATTTAGTGTTTTATAATTAGGTGTGATGTGTTTTATTGTTAAAGGTACACGCTTAGAGGGAAAGGAAAGGATAATGGGTATTTGGCCAAGATTACCCACAATAGCTTGATTCAACCAGTCAGTTAAATCCTTTAAAAATCACTTTTTATGTGATATATACCCAATCATACACATTATTTTATTACTGCATGATCAAACTGATTTATTCAATCATTTAGCCAATAAACATCCATTCTGCCAGGAATTGTGCAAAAACTGGGAGAAATAAAGATGAGTAAAGAAGCCTGATAGAGATGGAGACAGTCGCAGGAACCACTGCTCCAGTTTTGATGCTGCAACAACACAGCTCCCCTTGCCCTGTCCTCTAAACAATCTAAGTTGTTCTCTCTCTTAGCAGATGTGCACAATCTACCCTCTTCTAGTAGTATATATACAGGGCCTAAAATAGACATAGATACATATTAAGAGCTCAGTAAACAATTTAAAATATTTAACTTAATTCTACTTCTTATTTTGCGCTGTGTACAGTGCTAAGCCTTTTAAATGTTTATTGAATGTAATCAGAGCTGTGCTGGTAAATGCCTCTCCAGGGGGGGAAAGAGCCTGATTTCTAGCGTTTGCTGATCTTGTGGCAGAAACACTCCCGCCATGGCTAATTTCAAGCTACCTAGTGGCTTAACAACTGCCTTGCAAAAATCCTGAACATTTACTTAACAATTGGCTTGGTCAAGATGGTACGAGTCGACCCCGGTACACTGCTGCACGTAATTTTCACAACACGACTAGTTAAGTAACTTGTTCAGGGCCAGGTAGTAAATGGTAAAGCTAGGATGCAAATATGGGAGTCTGGGAGACTAGAGCTAGTCCTACATTAAACTGACTGAAGCTAGTACTACATTAAAATTTGAATTTACATATGTAAACTTGACTGACATTATATTCCACGAACAAATATGGAGTGAGATGAAGAGCTGTTAAAATTGCCATTGGAATCTTTCCAGATGAACCAAAAGCATTCTGGGTTTTGACTTTCTTCACATTGGAACATGAAGCCATTGCTCCCTTGTCTGTGAGACCTAAAGCCTTTTCCTCCTTGGGTTCATGTTGTGTTTATCCTTTGGCTCAGAGATGAATCCATTCATTGAAGAGTTTGTATTCCACTTGAAACTTCTCCTATTATTCCTATAAGCAAATATTTGTGTAAGGACTAATAATCTATATATTAAAAAAACCTAATATGAAAATTGTCCCCACAGGAGTTTGACCAGGAGACTGATCACTTGCTATGACATTCACTGACCACCAGGGGGGCGGCGTGGATGGAAGGCCCCAGCTGGCAGCTGGCAGCCAGGGAAGGAAGGCCCCAGCCAGCAGCCAGAAGGCCCCAATCGGCCCTGATCACCAGCCAGGCCTAGGGACCCTACCCGTGCACAAATTTCATGCACCAGGCCTCTAGTAATAATAATAATAATAATAATGACAGTTATTGTTTGTTGAATGCATACAATGTGCCAGGCACTCTACATTCTACATGTTTCATTCCATTTTATTCTCACAACCACTCTAATAGCTAATAACTATAGATCCGAGGTTCAAGCCACAGGCATGTGTTTTTGAGCCTGAACTCTTAACTACTATGTCATCCTATTTAGTCCCTAAATGCTCCATGCCAACATGCTGGCTGATTTCATATCCCAGCAGCCCAACTCTATGTTATGTGCCTTCAACTTCTTTCCTGGTACATTTTTCAAGCCTCCCTTCTTGCCTATCCTTGGTTAGCTCCCTTTGTCTTACCTAAGGCAGGTGCTGGTTGTGAACAAACGAGCTGCGGTGACTTTACCAGGGCTGATCTCCAAGTTTACCTTGCTAGCTGAAATGAACCATTCTTCATAGATGGCACTCATGGAATTCAATAATAGGAACAAGAAGGTTCAAGTTTCATATAATGGGGTGGGACCTAAGTCACTGTGAGTGGCTGACCTACCTCTAACATTTGTGAGGTCTTGGGCAAGAATGGCAAGAATACTAATGGAGGCCCACATACCATTTGTCTAAATATTTAAACATATAACTCAAGCTAGTAAACTGTTAAAGAAAGTATATTCTGTTCTTCATAGTGCCTTAGTAGGTTATGTTTTAATTTAGAATTATTGAACTCCTTCAATTACTGGGCTCCGGAGAATTGGCCCCTAACTCAAGGGCTGCCCATGTTTTCCCACCGCCGGCTCTGCCCTTGCACACATGACTGTGGACCACCTTACAGCCACACATCCGAGCTAGCTTTCCCTCCCCAGCGGCCCCTTGGCTCTAGCGGTACCCACACTGGAGCTGTGGTCTAACCCCTGAAGGCAGACCAAAGGAGGAGGCCTGCCTAGGACGTGGATGGAAAGCCCAGGGCTCTTGGGCAGAAAATTCCAGGGCCAGGGGCTAGAAAGGAGACCTGGAGGCTTGAGGAGGATCTGAGTACAGCCCTGAGTACAGCACAGGGCTCAGGGTCAAGGCCCCTCTTACATAGATCTGGGATTGGTACTGACGGTAGGAGCCTTGAGTATACTCTTCCTGGGGCACAACCCTGACCCTTGGAACATAAATTTTGAATGATTCCAGTATTTGCCAAAGGGATGCGGTGAGGTGAGGTAGCAGTCTAAACTTTATAAAATTGCCATCCTTCTGAGCTTCATGCCAATGGCTGAAAGTCACCTTCTCAGCCCCTGATGCCAACAAGATCGATCTGAAAGTTAATGCAGCTTAATATAATTTGATTGATTGCTTAGAAAAACATTGTATTCCCTCAAAATACTTTATTTTCGATAAATGGAAGGCTCCTCACCACTTTCTTACATACAACACGACTTCATGCTGCCTCTTTCCAGAGTTCCTCTCTTTGAATATATAAATTTGAATAGTTTTTTAAAAATTTTACTTCACTTGAGTGTAAAAGCAGATGATCTAAGATTAAAAGTTTGATGCTTAAATTTTCTAAATCTCAACAGCAAAACAATTGAATAAAGCCAGTACCTTGACACAGTTGCAGAGCGCCTGTGGTTGGGATGGGTTGCTGGGTTGGGGGGTCTCGATGAAGCACAGCGGGCCCAACTCCCACTGTTCTCCGGCCTGGAAGCTCTCAAACTCTCTTGCGTCTCAGACTCACCTGGAAGACTTATCAAAACGCAGCAGAATGCTAGGCCCTACCCTGGGAGTTTCTGATTTAGTAGGTCTGAGGTGGGGCCTGAGAGTCTGCATTTCTAATAAGTTCCAAGGGGGTTGCTAATGCTGCTGGTCTGGGGACCCCACTTTGAGAACCGCTGCTCTAGGTTTTGTACAGATGACTCATGTCCTGTATTCACAGCACGGCTTCAGTCTATAACTGTCCCCCTCCCACTAATCACACAATTGATAGACCATCTTCACACCAGGAGATTCAAATCAACAATGTAAGCAATTTGCACACCAGAAAAGAAAAAGTTGCCAATCACATATAGTTTTTCAAGTTAATGGTCACTTCTAAAGGTCATAATGATAATAACATCTTGCTTCTTTTTAAAAATATATTTTTATTGATTTCAGAGGGAAAGGGAGAGAGAGATAGAAACATCAGTGATGAGAAAAAAATCATTGATCGGCTGCCTCCTGCACGCCGCCAACTGGAGATTAAGCCCGCAACCCGGGCATGTGCCCATGACTGGAATCAAACCCGGAACCCTTCAGTCCGCAGGCCGATGCTCTCTATCCACTGAGCCGAACCAGCTAGGGCACATCTTGCTTCTTATCCTTTTGTGCTACTAGGAAGACCATGGCCACTCCATTTCAGCCTGTAAACTTGTCCAAGAGCAGTGGCACTAGCGGATGTTTTATGGGAATCTAATCTCCAAATATGCTGACTTTCATCATTATTCTTAATAACCAGAACACCTTTCTTCTGAATTTGTTGCTCGTGATGTTACCTAACCCCTTCCTGATTCTATTTTCAGCATATTATTACCTCTAACAAAAATAGGTTCCCTCTCCATTTAAAGGACTAGTGCCTGCCTATGTGACTGGCCTGGAGCAGAACACACGTTCCACACACAGACCCAGGGTGTTTAAGGGAAGCACCTAAACAAACCGAGCAGAGCCGAGACCTGCCACCTGTTAAGTTTCTAAAGGATTGTTAAGCTCTGGAACCACACTGTCTACCTATCAGTCTAACCACATATATTCTTTTCTGTCCCCCAGTCTGTTCGTGGCTCCTTTGGAGCCATTTGCTTTTTGACCACATCTGCCAATGGACAGCCCGAGTTCCTCGGGCAGTTTTGGTTGGAGTATCTCCCTGCAGAACCGTGAGCCACGACCCAAAGGGAGACATAGTGTTTTTACTCACATCAACCCTAACTACATATTTACAAATAAATCAAAGGCATCGTTTCCAGTTACTCTCAATTTCTGTACACTGTGCACTAGAGACAGCTCATAACTTACACTTTACTAACATGTTTAAATTCTCCAGTACCTTTTTACTCCTCTTCAAGGAAAAAAAAAACATCTAAAAATAAATTTTAAAAATAAACCAAATCTTCTGTGACCGTTCCTGGCCTCTATCACATTGTACACTTGCGATATTTCTCAAGCTTTCGGGGATGCTCACTGATTTCACAGTCCGCTCCTGGCTCATATTCTGCACATTTGTTCTCCTTCTACTTAACAATCTGTTGCTAAAGCGTCATCGCTGACTCAGCCTGCGTTGCTGGCCATGACCTTTACCTGGACTAAAGCCTAGTGATCATGCAATGCCTGGTGTGTCCCTAACATACACTTACGGGTGGGAGTCCCTCAGGGTAAAATCCGATGAAAAGACCAGATTCTTCATTCATTTTGATGATTTTCAGAGGATTTTAGTCCACATATATTTCACTCGCACAGTTTTTCAGTCATAGTTTTCAAACTAAATTGTTTTGATTTTAAATAAAAATCTATTTTGTTTACCAATACAGCATTTAAATTACCATCTCTTATTTTGTGAGTGACAATAATTGTACATAATTTATTAAATAAAAATCATAGCCTATTTTGTGCTTTTTGTGTGTGTCCAATGCTTTTCATGCAAAGAATCGAGAACTCTAGTTGTCTCAGTTTAGGGAAGTCTATTGCAAGGCTTCTGGCCCCAGTTAGGAAACAGGGATACCAGGCACACAGCTGGGACACCAGGGGACATGGGAAAATCAGGTTCTGAAGCCTCAGGAAGAACGGGACTTGACCAGCCAGGTCTTGTGGGGGTTGGACCAGTGTGTCATTCAGGATACTTACACCTGTAACCGTGCCGTCAGCTCCATAATTGCAGGGCCCCAGTGTAAACTGAATGTGAAGCCCTTTGCTCAAAAAACAGCTAAAAAACTTAAAAAACAAAAACAGTTAAAATGTGCCATTATAGGTTCTAAAATATAAAGCTTTTTTTTCGTCTATAGTCTCTCTCTCCACTTGTCATGATGTTTTTTTATTTGCTATTTAATGTCATTCTAAGTACTAGTAAAGATGAAAGAAAAGTAAAGATTCAAGAGAGTGGTTGCTCAGGGAAAGGTGACAAATGAGCATGGAAAGAGAAAAACAGAGAACTTTAACTTTGTTATGACAATTTTGTTATTAAATAAAATAAGTTAAATTAATAAATAAAATAAAATTTTATTATGAAGGGAAGTTGACAGAATAAGTGAACTGAATGGATGTTCAGGGGTGAGACCATGCATTTTCCAACAGAGTGGTGATATATTTAGCGTGCTCCAGAACCGATGCAAATAAAGATACTTTAGATAAACATTGTTTAAATCAAAGTCATTATTTAATTTCTGTTATTGAATATCATAAACTGTTATGTAATGTAAACAGCTCACATATAATACACTGAGCCTTAGATTCTGGGAAACTTAAGATCTGAAGCGGGAAGAAGACTTACTTTTCACTGTTTACCCTTTAGCACAATTTGATTATTTTTCTATATGCATTTTTATTTTTAACTTTAAAAATGGAAAGAAGATGAATGAGAGGATACTGTAGTACACCTTCTGTAAATGATAGACATGTAATCATTTTAATTATAATTTAACATTACTATGAAATATATACACAGTTTTGTAAATCTACCCCATTGCTATAGAAACGGTATAATATAAATGCTCAGATATATATGTATGTAGATTTACATATCGAACAAAGCAGTCATTTTGTAGACTTAAGCATATATAACAAGAATTTCAATATTTCTGATGAAACAGTTTTGCATATTTATATTTGCCAAAGGAAGTATATGAAAAAAAATGACAAGATTGTACTTTTTTTGGGGGGGGGGGGTGAAAGCACACAAGAAGTTTTTGAAAAAACAATTTCCAATGAAATAAAACTGACATTCTGATAAGAACTCTTTCACGGACTGTATTAGACCAACTTTTCATTAAACTAACACACTGCAGATTCGACCAAGATGGCGGCATAGGTAAACACCGGAGACTGCTGCCGCAAACAACCACTTCAAAAATACAACTAAAAGACGGAACAGACATCACCCAGAACCACAGGAAAGCTGGCTGAGGAGAGACTCTTCAACTAGTAGGAAAGAGAACAGCAAACCGAGGCTCAGAGGAGGCGCAGTGTGGAAAATACAAAGGTACCGAGGTGCGCGCGCAAAGCGGGCTGGTGGCTGAGGGCGCGGTTGTCGTTTTCAGTCGGGAGTGAGTCTCAGACTCTGGGCTCCAGATCCGGGCGAGTCTCTAGGGACTCAGACTCAGATGGGAGAAGCGGGATTGTCCGGCATCAGTTGGAATCTGAGGGCAGCTTTCTCTCCGAGGTTTGCAGCGGTTGCCGGGGTTCTGAGAAGCAGAGCCTCTAGGAACGGGACTGAGAGCAGCCATAACTGCTCCCTCCACCCGCCCTGTTGATCCCGCCCCGCCCAAGCCCTGCGCAGAGCCATTTGCCAGATCGCCTCAGGCAAAGGCTAGATTAGCACCTCCCCAGAGGACAGAAGTTTTCCACACAGCTGATTCTCACAGCCAGTCGGCCTGGTGGTCAAATCCCTCAGTATTAACTAAAAAAATCAAGGCTTAACTAGAACAAGACTGCGCACAAAGACCACAAGGGGGTGCACCAAGAAAGCATAAAAAATGCGGAGACAAAAAAACATGACAGAAATGGAGGATATGGAGCTAAAAAACGCAATTTTGAGGGCTTGCAATAAACTTGTGGAGAGCCTCACAAAAACTAATGAGACCCTCGATGCTACGATAAAGAAACTAGAAATTAAGCATACACGGACTGAAATAAAGAATATTATACCCAATAGCAGACCAGAGGAGCGCAAGAATCAAGTCAAAGATTTGAAATGCGAAAAAGCAAAAAACACCCAACCAGAAAAGCAAAATGAAAAAAGAATCCGAAAATACGAAGATAGTATAAGGAGCCTCTGGGACAGCTTCAAGCGCACTAATATCAGAATTATTGGGGTGCCAGAAGATGAGAGACAGCAAGATATTGAAAACCTATTTGAAGAAATAATGGCAGAAAACTTCCCCCACCTGGTGAAAGAAATGGACTTACAGGTCCAAGAAGTGCAGAGAACCCCAAACAAAAGGAATCCAAAGAGGACCACACCAAGACACATCATAATTAAAATGCCAAGAGCAAAAGACAAAGAGAGAATCTTAAAAGCAGCAAGAGAAAGAGACTCAATCACCTACAAGGGAATACCCATACGACTGTCAGCTGATTTCTCAACAGAAACTTTGCAGGCCAGAAGGGAATGGCAAGAAATATTCAAAGTGCTGAATACCAAGAACCTACAACCAAGAGTACTTTATCCAGCAAAGCTATCATTCAGAATTGAAGGTCAGATAAAGAGCTTCACAGATAAGGAAAAGCTAAAGGAGTTCATCACCACTAAACCAGTATTATACGAAATGCTGAACGGTATCCTTTAAGAAGAGGAAGAAGAAAAAGGTAAAGATACAAATTGTGAACAACAAACATGCATCTATCAACAAGTGAATCTAAGAATCAAGTGAATAAATAATCTGATGTACAGAATGAACTGGTGATTATAATGAATCAGGGACATAGAAAGGGAATGGACAGACTATTCTTGGGGGGGGAAGGGGAATGGGAGATGCGGGAAGAGACTGGACAAAAATC